GCGACAACCGAAAGGGCGAGGGAAAAAGGGGGGGGGGGGGCTATTATGTCATAAGGAGAATAACAAAGTGTAGTAACCCATAACAACCAATCAGAAATCATCTGTCACTCATCTGACTGCACTGCGCAGGTCGAGGCTGAAATGTGACCGACACGGGGTCACCGCCCTTCACTATGTCCTATGGGGGTTAAAGAAGATCCACTGGGCTGCAGTATGACATTGCAGAGGACCACTGCACCCTAATAATAGAAAACCAGTTACACTGTGTGATAGGTCGACTGAGTCATGTGAACACATCTGCACAGGAAGTGACAGTTTTGGAATCCTGTTTTCGGCCATTTTAAGCTACAGAAGGCTTAAAGGGAAATGATAGAAAATAAAACCCCTCCGGCATCTGCCATAGAGCTGAGCTACCGATGTAGACCTAATATGAGCATCTTTGGATATTCCTTTAAATAAAACAGATTATCTATTAGAAGCCAACTTCAGGTGCTCTTCACATTTTGTAGTTGCCAATGCCAAGTGCTGCAACGCCCAGCAGGAGGAAGCCCGTGGTTTCCAGTGGCCCCCTGTTCACATCTGAGTGTACTCTGACCCGAAAATGAAGCTCATGTACTTCTTCCCGTTATAGGCTTCTTACTACAGGCGATGGCCTATAATGGGAAAAGAACACGAGCTTCCCCTATGGGCAGAGTCGTGCCTTTAGAAAAAATCAACTCGATAGGACAATGAGGCGGGGTAGCTCTGGACCCCATGTAGGTAGCTCTGGGGTAGCTCTGGACCCCATGTAGGTAGCTCTGGGGTAGCTCTGGACCCCATGTAGGTAGCCCTGGGGTAGCTCTGGACCCCATGTAGGTAGCTCTGGGGTAGCTCTGGACCCCATGTAGGTAGCTCTGGGGTAGCTCTGGACCCCATGTAGGTAGCTCGGGAGTAGCCCTGGAACCCATGTAGGTAGCTCTGGACCCCATGTAGGTAGCTCTGGACCTCATGTAGGTAGCTCTGGGGTAGCTCTGGACCCCATATAGGTAGTTCAGGGTTAGCTCTGGACCCCAGGCAGGTAGCTCTGGGGTAGCTCTGGACCCCATGTAGATAGCTCTGGGGTAGCTCTGGACCCCATGCAGGTAACTCTGGGGTAGCTCTGGACCCCATTTAGGTAGCTTTGAACCCCATGGAGGTGGCCCCCCGGGGGAACCCTGGACCCCATGTAGATAGCTCTGGGGTAGCTCTGGACCCCATGTAGATAGATGTGGGGTAGCTCTGGACCCCATGTAGGTAGCTCTGGACCCCATGTAGATAGCTCTGGGGTAGCTCTGGACCCCATGTAGACGGCTATTCCAATTGGGAGCAGTCTTCTATTATGAGTCTTGGTAGGCAGTCTTCTATTATGATGAAGGGAGGGGGTCTTAAAAACGTGTCGGATTTCTATATGATTACTGGAACCAATACATTTATCTGGACTATTAAACTATAATATACTGAAAGAGGTTCTAACCCTACGCAGCTTGATCCAGAACTAAAACAAATATAATTCTGGATGGAGTTGTGATTTCAGATCCTGCTAATAAAAGATAACAGAATCGATAGCCAACTAAGCGGGCAGCGAGCCCCAGGGAGCGGAGGGGTGTGACCTGAAGAGTGCGGTTTGCTTAGCACCCGGCCCAGGTGTCTGGCGAGCCACCAATATGTTCCCGCTCGCTCACCCGATATAACTGGTCAATGCAAACACAAGCAGCGTGAACAATGGGGGGGTGTCAATATTTAATGTGCTCACTCCCTGGAATCAGCTGACTTGGCACTATGGTGTTAACCCCTCAGGAACCGCCAAGCCCCATTTGTGGAATTAGATCATTCAAGAGACATTCTCAATATGAAGATTAGTTCCCATGACTCAGCCAATCTAGTGCCCCATGAGCCACGTTCCTCCGGGGTGCCAATGTCCTCATCTGCTGAATGGCCCCATTAAAATGAAGGTTCCTGGTTCCAGCATTGCCCAATCTCTGAGCTGTCACATTGACAACCTCTCAGCCACGGCTCCATGGAAGTCTGGGGGTCCTCCTGAGGTTGCTGGGGGTTCCTTGAGAGGAGAGCAGAAGCAGATTGATCTCCTGACTACGCTGACCACTAATGTAAGGGGGTCACTTCTACACTGACCACCAATGTCAGGGGTCACTTCTACACTGACCACCAATGTAGGGGGTCAGATAACAAAGCTGTAGAAATGAAGCAAAACAAAAACACAAGTGTACAAGTAACAATCACAAGTAGACATTATGAGCCTATTATGAGCAGCCCCCACCATCCCTGTGCTGAGTTCCCGGGTCTGTACACCCGCTGTGCCCATTATGAGGTGCTCCCACCATCCCTGTGCTGAGTTCCCGGGTCTGTACACCCGCTGTGCCCATTATGAGGGGCCCCCACCATCCCTGTGCTGAGTTCCCGGGTCTGTACACCCGCTGTGCCCATTATGAGGGGTCCCCACCATCCCTGTGCTGAGTTCCCGGGTCTGTACACCTGCTGTGCCCATTATGAGGAGCTCCCACCATCCCTGTGCTGAGTTCCCGGGTCTCTACACCTCTTTTTAGCGATTTTTGCCCCCACCCCCCACCTGTCAATTTTCTAAAAAGAAGTGGAATGGAAAAATATATTTTTTTAAAGAAAGAAAAGTTTCCTCCTGCTGCATTGGACTTCTGCGTATAACACAGTGGACCCCCCCTCCCCCCTTGTCTCTGACCGTCCTCTTACCTGGGTGCTCAGTGGAAGCGGGCAGTTCTGTCAATGACTCGGCTCTGAGTGACCGCGCTGTGTGCTCTGGGCTGCTTATAAAGGCAGCTGCCCTGCCATACACTGTATCCCGCTGACCTTCAGGGACGACCCCTGACCTTTTCCCACCCGGGTAAATATAGCATCCCCGTCCTCGGTATGTGTAACCGGAGAGAGGGTGACATTCACAGGACACGGTGGCATATTCTTCAAGGTGAAAGGATGGAATGGAATCCGCAACCTCCAAAAAGCTTTGGCCAATCTTCAGCCGGCGCACATTATCCCGACATTCACCCGAAAACCGTTTCCTGTACAACGCGCACCTTTCATAATTCCACGGATATTCATCCCGGGGAAGTCCGAGTGCCTCAGGGGATCAGGAAGGAATGTGTTCCCCTGTGTTGCCTTCCTCTGGATCGGCTGTGGGTAACCGCAGGCCCTGGCAGGGGCGTTCCGAGGCCGGGTGTCACCCCGCAGTGATGTCATCGCGCGATGATGTCATCGTGCATGCGCGTTCATCGTGCGGCCATCTAATTGGCACCTGCCGGTGTCCATGTTGGTTGCGGATGGCGGCAGAGAGAGGAGGGGACGTTCAACCGGAGGGATGAGGTATGCCGCCGCGCCTC